CAACCGAGTTATTTAAAATATGTATGAATTTCGGCAGATGAATTTCATGTAATATGGCTAGCAGAAAAACCGACCAATTACGCAACCCTTCACTATTGCAGATTGGCAGGTGTTGGCAGCATCGAATACCCGGCGCCTGCTATCTTGGGCGCATCAGAATTCTGAGTCTTTTATCACAAATAAGGGCATAATGGAAAACATCCAGCCAGACGACAAGGCCTATCCTGAATTCAGTCTGGGGGGCAGGCACATGTTCAAAAAATTCACGACGTCGAAGGCTTGAGGTGTGGCGTTGGTGCCCATCGCAACCGTTCGAGATTGAGGAGTGATGAATATTGTCTTCGTGAATATCTATACTCGCTCCTTTTCAAGTTCTTTGCTAGTATATCGGTTAGTACACGCGCCTGTCATATCACGTGGTACGCGCGAAAGCTGGGTTCGACTCCCAGGCAGAGAGTGACATTTTTGAACGATTGCCCCGACTCTCATTTTATTCACTTGAACTCCAAATTTGGCCTTCATACTACGTGCACGCCTGCATCCACCTCCTTCATTTGCTGATGCACATGTATCTGTTTGCCGCAACACAAACTCATCCCAACAATTCTCCGGTCGTCGGGGATCTCATGGTTGCCGAGTTCGGCAATATCATTCAGTCTCCACTTTCACGTTTATTCTGAACTCTTGCCACACACACAAAGGATTGCTTTTATCTCCCCCGAATTTTGGAAGTAAAGGCGTAAATCCCCGAAGCAATAGCTGCAAGAATGGCTGCACCTGACAAGCAAAAGCCAACACTATCTAATCTCGCAGACACTGAGGACGATCTCGATGATCTCGACGGCAAGCCTACCTGTTCTCTACTTTTACTGTCAGTAACTGATACATTGAATGCCTAGATGTACTTGATCAGTTTGGCTCATCATCGCCTGGAGTTCCTCCCCCAGCGCCGCCACCGTCGGCAACTACAACGACCGCATTTGGTAGGCCACGCACGAACACGCGCGTTGACACGCCCCCGAAGTCGGTACCTGGTGGCATTGGCTTAGATCCGACGGCGGAAACCGATGAGAACGAAGTATCCGCAGAGTTTGAGCGGGAACTGGCGAAGGGGATGGAGAGCCTGATGCGGGAGATCGGTTTGGGTGCAACGGAGGGTCAGAAGGATGCAGAAGGTGGCATAGACAAGCAGTTGGATGATGAGGAGCTTGCGAAAGTGTTCAAGGCTGCGTGGGAGCAGATGCTTGTTGATGGGCTGGACGGGAAGCCGGGCCATGACCTTGCTGGCCTCGAAGAGTTCTTGGGTAACCCACCCAAGGACGCGAAGGCAAAGGAGGACGGGAAAGGCAAGACGAGTGTGGGACCAAAGACACCTTTCCAAGAGAAGATTCAACAGGCTCTTGGAAAGATACGAGACGATGAATCTAATCTCAAGGTGCGAACGGAAATTGAATTAATTGGTGGAGATCAGCAGATGCCTGACTAGGAGTTTCAGGAATCTTCCACAAAACCCAGTGCCGGTGCTGGTGGACTTCCAGATGACCTGCAGTCGTTGCTCGCGTCTTTAGGAGAAGGCGAGAATGACGAAGAGCTTTCAGGTCTCTTTGACACAATGATGGCCGAGCTCATGAGCAAGGAAATACTGCACGAACCCATGAAGGAGTTGGCGGAGAAGGTATATGCTGTTCTTTCTTTGGCTCATCTGTTAAACTAATTCGATTGAAAGTTCCCGGTCTACCTCGCAAATCCCCCAGCACCAATATCAGGCGAAGACAGGAAGCGATACGAGCAGCAGCAGGCCTGTGCGCAGAAGATGCTCGCCATATTCGAAGACCCCTCGTACAGTGATGCTGATCCTGTTGCAAAGGAAAAGATCACTTCCCTTATGGCTGAGGTGAGTGGATATTTCTCCGGTAGGCTGGACCATGGGATAACATGACTGATTATCCCATGCAGATGCAAAGTCATGGAGAGCCCCCAACTGAGATAATGGGCGAGCTACCCTCTGGGTTGGATAACCTCTCGAAAGGCGACTGTGTGATTGCATAGTGCGCTTTTGTTTGCTTCAAGATTAAGTGCTAGTTCTGTCACGCCGTCACCCATTTTGTATATCATACAGGTTCCCTGATGTTGATGTGGCAAGGCTCAAAAGACAGCGAAGAGACTAAGAATAGTTCAGTACATTCTTCCATTTGCTGTGATGGGAGTCGGAGGCTCAGATCAGACAAGATCACGTCTCAATCAATGCAGGCCGTCGCAGTGCAGATATAGGTATGAAGGATTACTATCCATAATCATGAATCTCTCCCAGAGGCCATGGCTCCAGTGGTAATACTTACTCATTTGCGATGAACCCTAGACCTGAGCCATAGCTCGCGCGCCGTGGATTTTGCGAGGGTCTTGCGCCTACCAGACTCCATGAGAGAATTTTACAGCCGTGCTATACGCACCTGGCAAGAAGTAGAGCATTAGAAGATGCATCTATACCCGCTACATTGATTCATGTCTGACATCTTGAACGTAGTCTTGGTAGTACACTTTCCCGGTGTGATTATCGATCGTTATCTGTATAAAGTGTAAAAAGGATATAAAACGAACCTCTGTATACGCGCAAACCAGACTTCCGTTTCTTGTTCTGCGCAAGCGTAAGTCCCTCGCCTCTGCCCTAGGCCTTCCATCGCTTTCGCCATCGCCACCCTTGATCTTTCATACGCCGATCCAATGCCTTTATTACCAGACCGCGCTTCCTCTCGTTTAGGAACTTGAAACACGTCCTTTTCGATCTCATACACCTGCTCTCATTACTCTGCAAGTCCGTCAAACGCATCCGATGCCTCGACGCTGTCGAGTATGGAAAGCCCATTCAGGAGGGAATGAGACGGAAAGATGACGTTATGAAACCGAATTCGTTGTGTGTTGCGAGCGATCTGAGTCGAGCCCGTCTCTGAGAGAGGCGTGAATAAATTGATATTGAAATCGATGCTGCGAAGACCTGCCTCAAATCAACAAAAGCAGTTGGCAGGATCGTCTGAATGCGGGCAGCGGCCTGGGTGGCATGGTTTGAGATGAGAGGGAGAAAAAAACAAGTGATCAAGATCATGAATTGACCTTCTTTGAGTATATATCCCCTGAATCACTGAAAATGGCTAGCTTTGCTTGGATCTTTCACTGGGAATACCTCTGGCTTCAACTGCTTAGATTCTTTCTGCTGAAAGGGAATTGTTGGTTAGGTATACTATTGTCATCGACCCCTTGGTCGAGTAATATCTCCATCCGTAAGACCTACTATTGCAATGCAAAGAAAAGGAATAATGGCGACATAAAATTCTGAGGTTGAGAGGAGCAATTTGAGCGCTTGAGCAACTACCAACAATTTTCAGGAGCAGATCAAGAGCAACTTGCAAGTAGCCGAAAATAGCTCTGAGAGAGACGAATTGATGCGCCATCATTTTCTTCTCTTTCCCCTTGAACTTCCACCATCGCAGTCTTTGTCGTTTGCAATGAGCTGCTCGCCCATTCGTAGGGCTTGAAAAAATACTCGTTAAATGAAGAAAGCTTGAACCAGAAGTAGCAATGTAAGTCACGATCGACGATCAAAATCGACCTACGGAAGCTGCGCCAATGCTAACATGTTCATATATTAACTTCAGACATCACAGAATCTCCTAATTCAACCCTTACTGTGTCTCCACAAATATCTCCAATGGAAATGTGGGGTGTTTGAGGGCTTGAAGAGCAGAAATACTCGGCGCCGCCACTGGAGATACAGATCATCTATGTCAATAAAACTAAGTGCATGTACCTTGAGCTCTATTCCCTTCTGTCTCGTTCGTAATGTCCCCGAACGTCAATAAGGGCCGCTTCACGCCCACATTTGACGGCAAGGAAGAATCGATTATCACAAGGCCGGCTAGCGCAATTGGGGAGCTTTCTAAAGGGCCACTGTTGGCTGAGGACACAATTATTGTTGATTGGGATGGTCCAGACGATCCTGCCAACCCGAAAAAGCAAGATATATCTGCAATTTAAAACATGGATGCTCATCTTCTTTGATAGTTGGGAATACCGCCGAAAGTGGGCTGCAACGATCGTAATGTCATCGTTCACCTTGATCTCTCCGGTGTCCTCATCTATGATCGCCCCCGCAACACTCAATGTGGCTTCTGAATTTGGCGTCACGGATAGCACGATCATCGCTATGATGACTTCGATTTTTATATTGGGGTATGGTAAGTCACTCGCGTTTTCTCGGCGATAGTCATCCTCTCATATCCATCGCTATGTGTAGCGCTCGGGCCATTCGTAAGCAATATCAGGCTATGAGGACTGTCGAGCTCATGAGAGCCCAGGTCGTGGGACCACTCAGTGAAATCTACGGACGGTCGTGTGTACTACAATTATCCAATCTGTTCTATTTCGGTGCGTCGAAACGGCTTATACACCAGACGTATAAATGACGAAACTTTTAGTGTGGAATATTGGTTGTGGGTTTGCGAAGAACAAGAGCCAACTCATTGCGTTCCGTTTCCTCGCTGGCCTTGGCGGAAGTGCACCGATGGCTGTGGGTCATCATGTTGCAGAAACTTCCGTTGTATCTCATCTAGCCTGTTTTTAAGATTGGAGGAGGCGTACTCGGGGATGTCTGGCATGCCGAGGAACGTGGAAAGGCGCTCGCTATCTACACCCTGGCCCCATTACTTGGCCCTGTCATTGGGCCTGTTTGCGGTGCATGGTATGTTAGTCGTTTGGAAACACACCCAGTTATGCAAGTAACTCACTCTTTACCAGGATAGCTGAACGATCGACGTGGCGCTGGGTGGTGAGCTACTGTTGGCTCTATCAAAATTGAATTTTCAATAAATTTTGCAGTTCTGGTCAACAAGTATTGTCGCTGCTACAGTCCAGGTTTCGGGCTTCTTCTTCCTTCAAGAAAGTACATATAGATCGTTTGTGTGTCTACTTATCTGTATGCTGATAAGCTCGATAGCCTTCGCACCATTGCTCTTAGAGCGAAAAGCAGCCGCAATCAAGGCATCAATGGATCTAGAAAAAGCTCAAGCCACGAACATATATACTATCTTTGAAACTGAGGGAGATCGAAGGTCGGAAGATTTCTCCTGCGTTATATGCTGACCTCAATCTCTCTGCCTTCTATAGTTGGAACTACATATTCGGCAAAGCCCTCACACGGCCCTTCCTCATCTTTGGGCAAGAACACATAGCGCAATTGCTCGGTGTTTACATGGCCTTCATCTATGGGATTTTCTACTGTATTTTTGTTGACTCTCTCGTTACCCTCCGTCTCATACATCTCATAGTATTTATCACAAACATACCGGCAATCTTCGAGGTTGTCTATGAGGAGAAGACGAGCATTGCGGGACTGAACTACATCGCCCTTGGTGTTGGCCTTACATGCGCCTCGCAAGTAAATGCGCGTTACATGGATCGGGTATA